TATGGACATAACATAGTTGATCATTTGTAATGCAAAAAGACCTAATGCCTCAGAATATGTTTTAATGTGAAGAATGAGTATTACAGTGATAAAAAACAAATTGAAGTTTTGAGATAAAATCAGAGAGAACAGTAGTGGAATGTGGCTCAAGTTATTTATTTATTTTCCCTCAGTATTTGACTAAGTCATTTATCTCAATAGAAAAGTCCACCATTCCATAAAAGTTAATTTTTGCCTTCCTTATCCTAAGAGTTGACTTTCCTGTTAAGGCAAATACACCTGACCTAACTTGACATGAATACCAAATTTCATGGCCCAGCATGACTCAAATCCCTTTGCTCCCAAAGAGATAAAGAACCACTTCATTATGCCAATTGCAGATTTTCCTCCCCAGAGGAAGCAATCTTTGTCAACTTAAAATCTTCTATAGCTCTTATTAATTGAACCACTTAATCACATGCTAACTTGTATTTTTTTAAAACTTTTTAATGCATTTACTTCATATTTTATCAAATCACTTTTGGTTTCATAGCAGCAGGACTTTTGCCCATTTCTTACACTTTATAGGTGTAATATATTATCAGCTAACTACTGTAAAGAGGGGGGAGAAAGAAGGAAATTAAAGCATTAACAAAGAAGAAATGATAAAAGGAAAATAATGAGATTAAACTTTCGTTACATCATTGTTTTTTTAATATTATACTTTGAAGATATGGGTAGCAATAGAAATCGTCTTTCAATCATAACAAGCCCTAAAATATGAAGTTAAAATAATCAAAAGTACTGATACTCAAAACAAAACATACTATATGTGTTTGTCATGGTGACCTTTACTTAAAAGTTTCCTGATATAAAGAAAATAGAATGGGAAGTTTTCATTTTTGAGAGCCATGTGTGTCATTAATTCTGTATGACATTTAGTATGTCAATATCTGTCTACTTTTATTAAATCATGTATAAAATGGAGATGATCAAACATACATTCTGGATGTCTCAAGGAACGGTTACAGAATCAGTGAGGCAAACCATTTGCTGAAAATTTGAAGGCTATGATTCTAGTTGATAAATGATTCTTTCCCTTTTTCTCCTTTAAGGGGAAAGAAGTGAGAATGCTCAAGAGAAAATTCAAAGGGATTTAAGGCTCAGTGCTGGCCATACCTTCCTTTTAAGATTATAGATACATTTGTCTTGAAAAGATGGTTAGATTTATTTATTTAAAATATAGGCATGTGAGGATTTCAAACACTGTTCTTCACCTCTCTTGTTAGCAATCAATTTGTTTTACCTATGCAGACCTTTTAAGTTTCTTTAAAATAAGTTGTGCTGCAAATATGAGTAGGTATTTATCAACATGGGGGAAAGGGAGGTTATTCAGCGTCTATTCTATCATTTAAGTAGATTTATCAGAATAAAAGTTTCAGTTTTTTTTCTATAGATAAGTATTAATCTGTAAGCAATTTTAATAGTGATTGATATTTTTTGGCTATTAAAATCTAGCTGGCAAAATGCCCCTCGAAGATGGCATTGTTTACGCTATTGTCTAAGAGGAACAGCTGTTTACCCCTTGCTACAGTCTCAAATGCGGTATTCTTACTGAAACGTTAACAAATCTTAGACAAATGTCTGCTATTTAAGGCTGAAAGTTGTTCTGAGAACAGGTGTGTTTGAGAGAGTCAAAACACTACAACTGTAAATAGGACTTTAAATTAGGTGCAATTTATAAACTATGTACTAAGTTTGCATATGGGCATCTAAATGCAGAATTCCAATATTTACTAATAACTTAACTATTAATCACAGCATATGGGTTTTATGATGACAGATTTATCTGACTACCTTTTAATATATATTCCAAGAACTTCTTACTGACCAAGATTCAGTTTAAGCCATTCTGTCAGAAAATGAAGCCAACATCTCTCCCAATTATTGAAATATTTTGTTGAAATAAATAACAACTTGGAGAGGTATAAAAGGGGGTTGATATCATCGAACTTCCAAGTTAGTGACTAAAGACATATCCTCTACATATCATTTTCCCCTGCCTACAAAGAGAGGTGTTCTAGGTTTGGAAAATATATGAAGTAGAGGAAAGCTCACATACCTCTGATGGGTGGGAGGGTATCAATTTGTAAAGCAAATTTAAATAACAATTTGTAATGTCTGCTAAAACTGAAGATAAGCATTTCCTGTGGTTCAGAAAATCTATGTAGGTTCATGTTTAAGAAAAATTAAGAGATAAATACTAAAGGAGAGGATAGGGTGTAGTTGATGGTGATATAGAGATGGAGCAAAAAATCCTGGAAATGATAAAGATATGTATACACAGGTACATTAAACATAAATTGTAATATATTTATAAAATACAACAGTTCAAAAGGAAAAAAATGTGACTATATTAGGTATATCTGAATGCAAAAATTCCAAAAATGAAATGTTCAGTAGAATACATGATGCAAAATGAAGCACTATGATATTATTTATATTTTGGTTAATGACAAAGCAATATTACATATCGCTTAAGGATGTAGCTATGTATTATAAAAACATGATGTGTGGGAATGGAAAATAATGTTTACTTCTAAATATTAACCAGTATAATATCTAATGTTAAATACATACAAAGCTTTATATTTTCCTAGACTCACTAGCATGACTGAACTAGCCATGTATGTGTTTTTTTAACCTGGAGTCTTCAAAGGCCAGGGCTTGAGGGGATCACTTGGGGTTTTAAGGAGAATAGGCAAGCTTAGCAGCTTTGAAACTCAGACTCCACTTTACTCAGGCTTCTGCCTGCAATGAAGCTTCTTGAGTCACTTCAACTTTGACATTTTAGGATTCTCCACCACCTGATCATAATTTTTCTCCCACAACTTAAGTCTGTGCTGGAGAAGTTTTCAGGATGCCCATTAATCTAGTACCTTATATAATTTTTCCAAAGAAAACTTAGAGACAATAGGGTCATTTATTTATAAGTGAGAGAAATTTCATGATTATTTTCTAATAAAAATGACTTCTTTATCTAATGGCCATTTGGCCACCTTTTAGTATTTTAATAATGTGAGTCTAATCAAAATCACAAAGTTAACCTCAGGCTTTACACAGAAGCTGCCTCAAATGCAGTTCAACATGCTGTAGCTCTTCCACTGGCAGCTGAATGCTAAGAGTTGTCAAGTATACATTTATAGTGTAAAATAAGTCGCCTATTTGCTACTGCTGGCAAGAGGAAGAAAGAGAAGACATCAACTTCCTCTGAAGCTATTCTGTCTCTAACTTGATTGCACTCTTCACATTGGAGAAATCATTATGGCCCCTCATTTTGTTAGGATTTGACAGTTCTCTGACAGCTTCCAATAAAAAACAAAATAAGTTGATTTACGATACAGCAGGAGAGTTCCCAGATGTAAATCAGAAGCCAAAGAGAACCAAGGTTTCTAATAGGAAACCTAGAAAAAAGGAAAAACTACTCTTTCCCATTTTTTTTAAAATTTAAATTCCTTATTCTCAGATCTGGAATCTTATAATTTTATGAATGAACAAGGATCCCTTCTACCCCCAAACATCCAACACACACACCTTGGCGTTCATCATCACCATACCAATTTCTCTCCTTTTCTCTCCAGTCAGGCGCCAGCGAACCACCTGGGCTCCGGAACCCAAAGCACCCTGCAGCACTTGCCCAAAGCTTTGTGCCAGCATCAAGGAAAAGAGATGGAAACGTGGACTGCAGGTAAACGGATGAACGTTGGGATTCGGGTAGGGGGTCAGCAAAAAGCTGGAGAGCGGACAAAATTCTAAACCGCTAGGTCAAAATTGCAGTATTATCAATACCCTCAGCCTCCCATACTACGGAAGAAACACAAGGGAGATCAAATAGCAAAATTCAAGTCTTCACTCTCCTCTCAGAGGGGGAAAAGGGGGGAAAAATAAAAAAGAATAGAAAAGAAAAGCATCTCCTTAGTTCGTTGCAAAGCTTTCCATGGGAGATTCCCTGTTGCTAATGCCTTCTGTCTTCCCACTCCTTTTAGTATCTCTTCAGTAACGTTCTTCGAAAACCTGATTTAAATTTCAGTATCTTTATTCGCTCCCCAAATTAGGGAAGAAGGAGGGAACGCGGAGAAAGAGAGAAACAGTAGTGAGGGGGGAGAGAGATATTTCCTTTCCCACTCTCTCCCAGGTAGCCAAAGCACACCGCAGCGGCGCAGCGGCGGTGAGGAAAAGCGCCCGAGCGGGGCGAAGAGACCCGCCCAGGCCGCTCTTATAGGAGAGCGCGGGGTGGGCCTGGCCGGGGGCGGTGCCGCGCGGCGGCTCGCCTATAAGGAGCTGTCCGCCGCCCGGGTGCTGATTCCAGCTCTAGCGTCCGACGAGGTGGATTTGGCTGCCACCGACCTCAGCCACTGTGGTTGCAATTGGCTTCGGATTTACACCTTTAAGGAGCGGGGAGAGAAGAAGGGGTTCAGAAAAAGCGAGTACAGCAAGCGGCTTTTGCGGGGAACTGTAGCTTCAGCCGAAGCTCCAGAGAAGACCCCGCTAACGGTTTCCATAGAGCTCTGGGCACGGGATGGAGTGAAGCAGCGAGTGACTCTTGAAGGGGGGGTGGGAGGGGGTCAGGCGGTGCAGAGCAAAAAAGAAAGCGAGAGAAGAAACCATAGCTGCCGCCTGCGAAATTAGGATTCAATTGGGAGGGACCGCTTACCCAAGGGAAATGGATTCTGTACTACGGCTGACCAGCGTTTTCACTTTGCTGTTCTCCAGTTTGTGGCATTTAGGATTAACAGCGACAAATTGTGAGTACCACAACATGGGAGCCTGTAGATGAGGTGGGGAGTGCTAGCCTTTGAAAAGACCCTCGACTGTCCAAACAGGCTCAATTGTGTTGGTTCTGAGGGGAAGAAAAGGGGGGAAATGCTGATGGGTGTGATTCCTTCACTCTAACCATCCCAAAAGTTAGCAGAGCTCAAATGAGCTAACACCGCTGAATTTTCTACCCTTCTTGAATTGCAAAGTTCAGGGTAGAGGAAAGGTCCTCTTCCTTTAACCTCCAGCCAGCTGTACGTTCTATGCTTGCCTGATCTGTGTCAGTGCTTTTCTGGCAAGGACCCTGTGTTGAGATTATATGCATTGGGGGGTTGACTTTGCAGGGACAGCAGTGGTCCCAGCCACAGCACTCAGTGACAGCAGCTCATTTCTGAATGTGGCTGCCTGGAATTTGTCATATTCCCAGTGCCTCCCAATACATGATTTTCAGTTCTCCTGTAGGCAGAAGGCTCTCTAGTTGGGGTATCTTACAGCCAATAGGCATAGATTTAACAGAATTGGGAGTTTGGGCCTAAGAGTCATGGCCCAATGTAGTGGAACCACAAGATCAATGGCTGCCCCTGTTACAGGAGGAAGAGCTTTGATGTACACTCTACATCCAAAATCTTTGTGCCAAAGAACACATAATGAATATGCAGTAAGTATACACTCTATTGTCCAAGCTCTAACCTCGGCAAGTGCATGGCATTTAATTTAATAGGCAGGGTGACTGGACACCTGGGGGTCCACCACCTGCACTATGTACTTAAAGAATCCAATTACTCAAACTTGAATAAATTCTAGGGCTATCAGAGGTTCAAGATCAATAGCTCAACTGCCTCCCCAGGCAAAGAAGGGGAAGTTTTTCCAGCTCTGGAAACTCCTAAATGAGAAAGAATAAAACTAAGCCCATCTGTGTTGTTTTCAAGTCTGATTTATCGAGGTTCCTGAAGTTTCTGGGCTTATTCCCTATCTGTCAATTTTTCACAAACTCAGAAATGTTTAAGTATATTGGACACTCAGTTTTGATTTTTTTTTTTTTTTTTGGTAATCTGAAACATTATCGACAGACTTAAGTAGGAGGACTACTTAGTACTTCTGGGTCTTCTACCTCACCCCCCACCTTGTTAGGTCCAAGAGTAACTTGTGTAAGACATAATCACCTCAAAGTTATATCTCAAGGGAAGACAATTAGACAAATGCTATTTACTGAAAAATGTTCCAAAGTAGAGTTAATATTTCTATCTGTGAGGGAAGTTTTGGGGATTTAGAATCTCTAGCTAGTAGTAATGACTTACAATGATTTTATTAAAGTTTGTATTCTAACGGAGTTCTGATGAGGTCAACCACTCTAAAAAGGAGAATCCAAGGAGCCTTAGTTTAGAAATTATTTCAGAGAATTGATAAGGATAGCTTGGAATCTGACATGTCTCTTCTCCTCCTCCCCCACTCTTCTTTCCTTTTTCTCTAGTTCTCCGCCTTTTTCTTCTTTTAAATGAAATTGTTCCCATGGTGCTTTAGAAGACATTTAAATGGTTTAATATGAGTAAGTTGGGCATGCTGTTGAATTAGTTTCTCTACCTATTAGAACACTAGAGGTCAGTATTGTCCTAATGATGCAAAGGTGTGGCAGCAAACTAGCATTTTTGTTTGTTTGTTTTTTTGATTCACACACTTACCTATCTGAAAATAGTGAATCATATTTTGAAGAAACAAAGGTTGGATGAGGGATAAGAATGAAGTAAATCAACAAGAATATGATTTGTGCTTCCTTATACAGCACCTTTTCTTAAGTCAGAAAAAAATAAGTTATAGAATGTCATTTTCTATAAATTAATCAATTATATTTAAACTGTAATAATAATGACCATAAAACCTAAGTAGCATTAACTTAAAGCTCATTCTTATCACTACCAATTCAACAGTGAAACTAATTTTGAACATTTAAAGGGAAACTTCATGATAATAAGCTTTGATATTTTGTCAGTGACAATTTAATTTCCCTATTTACAATCAACATTTCAGTTGAATGCACATTGCTTACTAAATATTTTGGGGTCAATGTTCTTAAAGTGCCATGATATGTATTTTTCATTATACTGACAAAATGTATTAAATCAATGAACAATAGATTAGTAGAAGAAAATTCCTTCTGAACTGAACCTATGATGGTCTTCAGAAGCTGTGTTACAGAATCTGTAAGAAGAAAACTAACATTCCCCAATTCTTCTAGATTTTTATGATTCACTCATATCATCCAATAAGTAAAGTAAAGTGACTTAACATTTATCTGTACTCCACTGATATTTTAAATATACATATTAATAAAGAGAAATCTCCTTTCAAATAATCAATTTGTCTATATTTATGAATTATTGAAAACATTCTGTTCAAACATTTTTTTCGTCACTTAAAAATATTACTTTACATCCCTGTGACACTAGTTTTAAAAGTAGATTATTTATGCACGATGCTATGTGCTATCTAGACATATCAGTAAATTTGGTCCAAGTAAAAATAACTTTTAATTGATAGTTCTTTTAATGTTTTTTCCATTATTAATCCTGTTTGTGTGATATACATTTGTCTGTATATAATTCATGCAATATGTGACTAATAGTTGAACATTTATCCTCAAGAAGAAGATATGTTTACCAATTATAAATTTTAAATGTAATTGAGTAAATAAAGTTAAAATGAAGTAAATAAAGTAAAAATAAGTCTGGTCAGAGGCTACTTGCTGTGTACATATTATGAACCTGTGTGAAGATCATAATCACCCACAAGTAATAAAATGCCCCAGCTTAATATTTTTAGAATATTAAGTAGTTACAGCACTTTCTTTGGTTTTAACTTTAGGGAATTAGTTAATTTTAGCTGTAGATATGATAAGCTATTGTGAAATCAAATTCTGTTTTATATGTTATATCAGCTCCTTTAGCACAAGGCCAAAATAATGTGATTTTATTGGTTTGAGTAGAACCAGGGGTTTGAAATGCTAAGGATTTCTAGTCCAGTTACGCCATAGCTAGCATGTCAAATGTCTATCAGGTTATGCAACCTTCCTGTGCTTATATACTTGGGTATAAACCAGCAATTGAGATACATTTCTACACCTAAAGATAAAAGCTGCTTAATATTTGACTGAAGCGATTCCTCAAATAATAGGTACATTTAAAGATTATTATAATGGAAAACATTCATTTAGAATATAAAAGGGGTCTAGAAAACTTGTAGGGGTCACTATTTATTTTTAAGGATAACAAATGTGCATGATTATGGAGAACCTTAAGTTTGACTAAGAAGTCACTTTGAAGGACTTCTCAACTTCTTATCTAAATTTTGTGTGTTCTAAACTCATACTGATAAAAACCTTGAGAGACAGTGAGAGAAAGAACAGCAACTTTAGTTTAACCCTTTCATCACAGACAGAACTTCTTCTACAATATATGAGTTTTCAATCATAATCATAGAGCTTCAAATAACGAGATGTGCTACACCCTAACTTATCTGAATTTCACGCACAATTGTAATAAAAAAGCAATATTATAAATAAACAAATATCAAGATGATTATTGTTTTTCATTAAGCATTTATCATTAACTTTTCCTCTCATTTTCCAGTCGGAAGAAGTGAAGGGAGCATGAAAGTGTGCATTTAGAAAAGTCCTAGAGATTTGTACTGGTTGAAAGGGCTTGTCTTTGTCAATACTTATGAATCCTCTTTCTTTTATCTTCACATACTTTCTCATCTCCAAACCAGATTCATATTTCTTCAACTGGAATGTAAATGAAACAAGATATCCAATTTCACATAATGGTACAGAATTATGAGAGAAATTGTTTCCATATAAATAACTGCAGTTCCTTATTCTTATTCTTCTTAAAATGAACAACTGCTCTCTAAATTGCAGTTTTCTTTTTTCCTTGCTTCTCTTCACAGTCTCCTTTCCTCACACTTAGGATCCAATTTTCCTTTACTACAATGCTTTGCTTCTCAGTGCCCATTTGTTATAAAACAAATTATTATGAGCTCATTTGAAATGTTTCTAAAACCTTTAGTTGCTGATACATTATTCCTTAGCTTATGTGTCATAACTGTTGAAATATGGCCTGTATATGCAGAGGTAATAAGTCTGTTATATTGGAAAGTGGGAGAGGGTCTAAAGACCTTACTTGAAATTCCAGCATATAACATTCATTTTTAAAATAAGACCTTAATTTGAAGCTTCAGTGTACTCACTGAGAGCCAACAAAAATATTTTTAATTCAAGAAAAATTGTCTTCATTAAAACTCTGACACCTTATGGTTGGTGACCTTGTAAAGATCGTTGACTGATACTGATGATAATGATGTATTTAATGAAGGAACTCTATCAAATGATTATTAAAGTCCTATCTAGTCCTAATGTAGATAGGGCTGCATTGATGTTGCCGACTGGTTGTTCCATTTGGATACTTCAGGGATGGTTGTACTCAAAATTGCTAAGCAATTGAATTTAGAATTACAACATAATAGGATTTTAATTCCTACTAACTGCTATGCACTTTATATCTCTCACTTTATATACTGTGTCCACAAATTTTAGGTAGACTTTATTAAATCCACTTTCCAAATGAGTACATTTAAGGTTAAGAAAAATTAATAATTTCCCCAGCATCATGAAGCTAATTAGTGAAAACAATCAAAATCTGAACCTGTATCTCGCTCTCTCTAAAGACCAGACTCTTCCCAAGATATGGAATTAATCCCCATGTATTTAGTTAGGATCTGTGTGACAACATGAGATATTTGTCTTGGGATACCTATGGCTGATTTCTGTAGCTCTTTATGGACAGCAAAGGACACTGAATTAGCAGTTTCTACCAGAGCCAACTTTTGAAATTATTCTTCTAATTAGAAAGTATAACTTATTACTACTTGGGAAATGCCAAGATATTATTATGCATAGCTCTTATATGAAAGAAAAATATTCATATTATTTGGTTGG